GGGGGGGGGGTAACCCCAGAAATACTTATTCATTAAACCGTACTTCGAGGAGTACGATTCGTCTTTATGTTGTTGACATTTGAATAGGAGCGGCAAGTTGGTGAGGCAGAGAAGATATTTGGAAAGCGTTTTCATCCTGAGACAAGATGGGAACCGCACAATTTTGAGTTTTTGTTACTATGCAGACAAAGCCAAAATATTAGATAGTGAGGAGTTTATGTTAATTACCTTTGATGAGCAGGACTTACCTCATGCCTTCAGGACCGAGATCATGCAAACTTATGTAGAAAATCCATTCACGATACCGTTGAATTCCGTAATATTTTACTTTCAGAGGTGGTGACCGATCAATGATCGCGTCTCGCAGTACTCTGTCTTCCGATGCTGCTGGTTGCGGAGGATCGGGTTTTGTTTCCCTTGCGTGGTCAGCAGATGGTGGAACTTTAGCGGGTCTTTCAGATCGTCTCTGCAGTTGGCGTCTCATCACAAAGCCGAATCCCGGTGGTGTAGCAGGTTTTCACCACATTCTAGATCGTTCTCGAGTAGTCCGCGTCTTCGATACTACCGACCGTCGAAATCGCCTTTTTGTCTCCTGCGCTTCACCTGGGGTGCCATATTTCCCCTCCACTATGATTGCCATGGAAGTTCACTCAGGTATATGCTTTGTTTTTGATCCCATTGACATGCTCTCCTGTTCGCCTACGAATCCTCCTGCTACTTTTACTATGTCAACGTCTGTTGAAGAAGATCCTGTGCTGTCAGATGTGACTTCGGAGATGTTGAATAAGTCTTGAAGTTGTAATAACTTTACAAGCGCTGTCCCTGTGAAGAAGAAGAAGAATGAATTTGCCTTTCATAGTTTTATCTTGTTTGCGGACCGATACCTATCTGTATTCCTACTGCTTCTCTCTATTCTATGCCATCCTATTGCTTGTATTTACAACCCATTTCAACACCTTTTTTTGCGAATATCATTATATAAAAGAAGAAAATGCAAAATTACTCAGATATTGCAAATTGAAAATATATTAAGGTGGGTTGTGATATTAGATGACATGATCATTTACTCGTATTGGGTTGTCTATTGGAAAAAGCTATATCGAGACGAGGTAAATTTTTTTCCATCGTGTTGAGGCAACTAAGCTATTTTGAGGCTGATAAAGAATGGTCGCTGAAATTAAATACTTACTTTAACTGGGTAAACAAGAAGCCTCAATGTCTAGAAGCTATTTGAGTGGTAAATTAGCTTATCAATTTCAGTTTTTGGAATTGAACCCTGAGCAAAATCGAATCGGACTTGGTAACTCAAGAATTCAAAATAAGTGCGGTTGCTTAGATATTATCGTACGCTCATGGTCGGCTGAGATTAGAGTTAAAATGAATGGAAGGGTAGCTTTGATTTGTCTGGATTGACAAGGCTAAAATAACTGACAGTACTGAATTCCATCGCTAAAATTTCATCTTAGAATTCAAGGTATAGTTGACGAAAACCGTGGAGTGTGAAGCTGCCAACTCTATCTGAATGGTATTTGAAGATAAAGCAAAGTTTTTTTGTATTCTGATGAATACAACGAACAGGAATGACTTAGAATATCAAAGCTAACGTTTCTTAAAGTAACTTAAGGGGGTATTCTGGTCTAGTGACATGAATTTTAGGTCATTTTTGAAGTGCTTTAAAAAAGCAGGCAATATTTTTATTATCAATTTTTTTATACATTATTTATTTACATTAGAAGCATACAAAAATAAAAAAATTAAAATTCCGTTAATTATCAGCTGATGAAGTGGAGCGTCTCAAAAATATGGTGCGTGACCATACCCACGATTTTAACTCTTCAACCAATCTGAAATCAAAAAATAAAAAAAGCTTATCAATATACATTATGTCGCTATGTCCGGAACTACGGAATAGTTATAGAAATATTTTTTACAAAATGGCGACTGTCCAAAGAAAAAACCATTTTTGTACCACATTTTTGAACATTCATCGATTTTTTTAAAAATAGTAAAAATGAAAATTTGGGGATGGCCGTAGTTCCGCGCATAGACAGGTCCCTAAACAAGACTCTCTTGAAATTTCCAGTAAATCGGTTTGACAGAATCTGAGAAATCGTGGGTATCAGATTCAAAAAACAGTTTTAAGAAAAACGCGTTTAAAGTTTCAAGTAAAATTTTTTGCAGTCCAGGTCATGAAATTTTATAGATAGATAGATAGATATAAAGGATCACAATTGTTTACTAAGAAATATAGATTCAGGTAGTCGGAGAACCCATTATGTCTTGTTCGATTAGTTACAGCCCAACCGATTTGGATGCCTGTTCAGCAAAATACTTATATCTCCGAAAATAATTTGAATTATGGAAAATCCTCTCGTAGACATATTTTTGAATAGTTAAACTATGAAAATATGCAAAATAAATTTTCGAAAGTTTTTTTATTGACCAGAATACCTCCTTAAGTAAAGGGCTGTGTAAAGGCCTTAATTTTAATATGCCATCATCGACGTTGGCATTCGACTCATTGCGATCTCCTTAAAAGGACTTTTTGAAGAAGCAACAAATCAAAGGCCTCTAAAATACCTTAATTTTTACCACAAATAGGGCTTCACACTAATAGCTATGTTCAGGTTTCCCCAATTTAAGTGACGATTACTCTGTCCATGAATAGACGAAAAAATTTTGTCAAAAAATTTTGAAAGAGCGAGTTAACTCCGCATTCTTCTTCGAAATAATGGCAAACCTAGCTCTGGGATATTTAGTTACTTTAAAACAACTGAGGGTTGGGTATCTTATTTCTACATTGGCTTTGGGGACGCTGGTGTCAACAGCTTCAACCCTTTAACGACCCGCAGGACCACCCGTCCTCTTTCAAAATAAGCTCCATTGATACAAGACTTGTAACAGGTGCTATTGGCGAGCGAAATATGTTCAATTCGTCTATGCAGCCTTCGGGTGATACCGTTCAAACCCATCAAGTCGGCGCCATCAGTCTCCTGCGGTACACGCGTAAGTGTGGTTTGGTGATTTTTTTTCCAATAAAAACTAATTCGGGGTTATTGGTTTTTTTTGTTTGTTGCCGGGCTTTCACAGAAGTAAATCAGGTAACTCCGAAAATGGGGTGGATAAACCCTATCACCAAGTCCCAAAATTGCTAATCCTACTAAACCAAGTTCAAAAAGATCGAAAGATGACTAAATAGGTATCATTTTTAACAAAGTTTTAACAAAATGGTAGTTAACTTAAGATGTCTCAAAGCGTGCTCATACGTGCGAATGGGACGAGGAGGCTTTGGTAAGACAAAGTTATCCAATGGATTTGACAATTGGAGAAGTCAAGATTTCAACTTCTTTGAATTGGCTGTAATTGCCACTCTTACCAATATCTTCAAAGGAATATTTAACAAAGAGGAATATGCTTTACACTCAAATAAACATAATAAGTTGTTTGAATATATAGCGAAGCAGGCGAAAGATCAAATTCTGACTTGCACATTCTCCTTACTCCCTGAAAAAAAAACATGTTGCGGCTCCTACGGTCCCTTTCATTTAGATTCTATTCGAAATCAAAAGTTTTAAATGGTTCATAAAGAATAGTGGATAAAAATTAAGTTTCTTGTGGAGTTTCCCAGTTTTTGTAACGAATTGCTACACTAATAAGCTTTGACTTTTCCTCAGAGAGAGAGAGGGAGAGAGAGGGGGGGGGGAGAGGAAATAGACGTGTGTCATTGAACGTGTTTAGTCGGACAATGCGCCGACCCGAGCTTAGTTATTAAAATTCAATGAAGGGTTTTTAAACACTGGTACAACTATTGATTGTTGGCTGGCTGGGAGGTCACCTAGCTCACGACAGCACCTGCTCCCTACGCTACAAGTAGCACACAGTGGCATCTTCGAGTCTGAACGAGTGCGAATGAGACTTCTTTGTTCAGTCATGACAGTGATGTGACCTCTTCACTCTTATTATTTTCAAGGAGATATTTTATTGTTTCAAGTGGTTCCAACACGCAATTAATACGAATGGTATCTGCACAATAGTGCAATTCAATGGACAGACTAAACGGTAGTTAAGTTTCATTATGATTGCTCGAGGTGATTTTATTTCTTCAAATATTAAATTTACTTTCAATTTGAACTTCTTATCAGACGTCAGCTAAGTCGTTGCTAATGCATTCATTAAAAGTGATTTTGACATTTATACAGACGGAGACTTTCGAATGAGATACAAACCAGTTCGCAACGTGAAATGGGATGCATAGCACTAACCCATTTTTTGTAAACACGATGATTGTCAAGGAATCTTTTAAAGCTGTTGAGATAGAAAACTGACATTCTTTAACTATTTTGATATTGTCCGTGAAGCAGGCATATATTTGGGTTAATATTCGACAATGAGTTTGTGCAGCACGTTTTCATATTTCGTGCTTTGTTCTTAAACCTAATATTGGCAAGTTGGGTTATCCCACCATTTCTAATGTGTAAAATCTAACGTTAATCTTCTATTTTTAATAGAAGTCAGCGACCATACCACGTCTGATCACCCAAGTTAAACTACGTCGGGGCGGATTAGTACTTGCATGGGTGACTGGCTGGAAATACCCGGTGTTGCTGACTTCTTTGGGATGTGCGAAAGACTTACCTCCACGTAGGGCATCTTGGGCAACGTATACACATACGGTAAAAAGTCAATTAACCGGCAGATGACTTCTGACTCCAAACTTCCATGACCCCACTGTATGCCATATTCGACCCCTTTCACAGCACTCATATCACCTTTTCTCTACCTTTGTGTCTGTCTGTATCTTTTACAGCTGTGAATCATTATTCTGTCCCCCCTCTCGACTTCTGTCACTATGATGTTTCTCTTTCTCCCTCCGAATCCCGAAGTCAGCTAAAGGGCTTATGGCAACTACCAAAAAGTCAGCCATTTGAAATAAATAAATAGATAGATTTTAATAGAATGTTTCAAGTTGGTAGCTGGAGGTGAAACGTAGAATTCAATTGAAGTATTACATTGTATAGTAATATGCAATGTAAAATTCTCTCCGACAATTCTGCGGTTGAAGATCCATCGGTGGTATTTTATTCTTAGATATTAAGACAATGTAATGTATTTGAATAGATCGCAGACGGTCTTCCAAGTGCACGGCTGAAAGATGCCTTTTTAAGCGAAGTAGTCCCGATTTATTTCCATCAAGCTTTTCTAGAGTTGAATTTCTGCCAATGGGAAAATATAATTCATTCATAATTTTATCTTACCAATCGGCAAATCGATTGCACAAAACCACTTCTGAAATTGTCTTGCTAATTTTATTTCTCTGAGCATAGAGGCGAAAATTTATACAACATAAAAGGCTGTGAAACTTCCTTTCATTTTACATAGGATTTCAGATGTAGAAAAGATGCTTTTGCCACAGGATGTATTATAAGCAGTATAATATTTCCTGATCAATTTATTTTTAATAAAGGGCAAGAAAAAAACAGTTCAAATGAAAGACAGATATTCTTGGTTGAGAAAACAAAATGAATATCTTAATTTAATGATGTTGTAGCAGATTGCTACAACATCATTGCTACCTTAGTAAAGCCTAACTGACTCAGAAATTGCTACTCTAGTAAAGCCTGACTAACTCAGAAATCTCTGGCTACGCTAGTAAAGCCTGACTGACTCAGAAATCTCAATGGGAGATCCTCCTACATCTAGCTAGACTCCCAGAACCAGCTAAACACCTTAGTAAAGCCTGACTGACTCAGAAATCTCGATGGCAAGATAGTCTCTATGGCAGATTCTCCAACAT